GAGGTTTACATCTGATTTACATAGATGTAATGCATAAATAATTTATTTTTTCTCTTGTTCTAAAAAGAGCAATTAGATTTGATAAAACATGAAAAGTGTCATTATCTCAAATTTTCCAGATGCAGTAACACTTTCAGAAGTAGTTATGGATTTGGAATGAAATATTAATTGCGTCTATTTTTCTGTCATCAAATTGATACCTTATCACTGCTTTTGTATGGAAATATGCATCGCTGTACTATTTTGTCTTTTTTTTTATTTCCAAAATCTTAACATTTTGCTGAAAAATGATAATACTTCTATGTAAAGTGAAATGTAAGACATTTCCTAGTCTTATCTTATTTGTCACAAGTATCGTGTTTTACTTTTATATGACAAAAAGAATTGTATTATTTTCTTAATAGATTATTATTTATTTTGTTTTTTGCAAAGTTATTCTATTATGCGACATATCGTAAAATATATCCGGAACTCAAGTCCCAAACTACATTTGTAAGTGGCGGAATGTTTGGCATAATTTTATCTGAATAAGAAGACTATCGTCGTATAAAGGTACCAGACTGCATTACACTGCGTTTGAAACTACTTATTCAATTACCGGTATTTAATTTCATTATTTGACTACGTTTTATTTTGTATTTTAGCCACTCGTTTTCAGACAATATCGAATGAACTTGATTCTTTGAATTTATAGCTGATTGGAAGACTGCCTTTTTAAGCTACATGACCAAGCTCGATTGAAACTGCCATCCAATTATGAAGAAAACCCTTTATATATAAGCTACGAATACGTATACATATAATATTTATTTATACGAGCTTTGGAAACAAATACAATAACGAGGCTCGCCTAGCTTTTTACCTGTTTCGCAGCGACTATAAATGATATTTGAAAACCATACGAATATCGAATAAGTTTATTTGTTCAGTACATCATTACAAATGTATAATTTATTATAGTAAAATGGCCAATTGCAAGATAAAATTTGGGATCAACAACCGAAAATACATTCGCACTTTGATTTTGGATCAGATTGTTATTAATGATATAATTATACTACAACTTCCGACAACAGCACTGTCTGTCGTATTTTCCCGGTATTTGTGAGGGACTGCTCGGCAATCTCCTTTCAAAAAGGTCGTTATTTCTTAATCTTTAAAACAGTTTGGTAGGTCAAACATATTTGTAAATTGTGCAAACTAACCTTTTATCTGTTGTTTCTGATAGAGGCTTTATCTCTACATGAAATATTAGGCTTTCGGATTTAAGATATTAAAAAAGTCATGTCAGGTCGGCAACTTATTACATTCTTACAAATCTATGTACAATTCTTTAGTATGTAAACAAATTTTCGGTGTTAAAACAGATAGCCGTCTGATATTGTTACTGATAGTATTGTATATTTAAATATGTTTCAACTTTGTAAGAATTTTAATTTGAAATCTTTAAAACCCTCACAATATAAAAAGTAAGGTGAAGGACAATTTTTTCCAGATTGTCGAGATTTCACTGATGTTCTCATAACTTTATTTTTGGACACAGACCTTACTATTTGAATTTGATCAAAATTAGTAGATCTATATTTTCAATCGCTTTAATAAGAAAAAATGGTAAATGTGACACTTATTTCATAAACACTTGTACTTACGAATCTAATGAATTGTATTCAAAATTACTTTCGTCATGAATATGCATGACAGTTTTGCCACTGGACTTTAAGCAAACATAATTCAAGCCTACCTTGGATGTCTTTGTCGTGAATGTACCATGTGTATACGTGATGTACCTGTGTGCATGTTTTGGGGGCATGTTAACATGTCATCGGGCATATGAATTGAACACGCGGATGCGTACGGTTTGTTGGTTTGAGATGCAACAACAACAAATGCGTGTTAATCCCCTCGCGTCGAGAAAGAGGCTTCAAGCGCATGGGTTAGGGATAACAAATACAACATTATCAATCTTACCTTATACCTGTCATGTAAGCATTGAACGAATGATACACATTTGCGTTAAAGTGTGTAAGTTTAATATGTAGAAGTGTATAGAGTTTGACCATTTAAGTAAAAACTCTTAAGGGTATATAGGATTTTAAAGTTAAATTATGTTAATAACATACAGTATGTTTACAATGAACTTTCCATTTAAATGTATTTAATGCAATATATGCATTTTCTTTACCTAGTTTTTGAACTACCGCAGGGCTTTTAAAATTATTAATAATATTATCAAAAGGAAAACATAAACGGAAATTCTTATCTTTTTCCGATGTGAGCTGGAGCATAACCGTATTATTTCATGCATTGTTCATTTTATTGATAGTATCGGTAATACACTTTTAAGAGGTATTGCAAACCCGGTTGCAAAGAATTTTTATTTATTAGTTGTAAACAAAAAAATACGATTTTTCTGTTAAGAGAATCTATATCGGGTGATACTATTAAGACACCCCCATTGGTTTTGCTAACGTCATGATAACACAATAAAGAAATGCTACAAAGAAGAGCAATTTACCGCAGCTGGAACTATTATCGCTTTCGGTAAACACGTTTTTATCGTCCTTTTTTTGTTGCTTTGCTTGGTTTTTTTTATCTTTGGTCGGGTTCGTGTTACACAATCTCCGTTGGTTTGCGGTCAGTTAATGTTGTTTTTGTTAATTTTTTGGGGTACGTCAATGAGACAGCATCCAAACAACACAAATAACCAAACGATATCTGAATTCTTATTTTTTAAGCAAGTGTTCGGCATCCCGCTTACCTTTCGTGATCACAATTATAAAAATTACGATATTAAGTTTGCACATGTTTGTTAAATACATTTTTTTATCACTGGTAATTCTAAGGTTCTAAAACCGGCGTTTTGCGTTTGCGCCGATCTGCATTTCATTTGCGCCAATTTTTTTTTCATTTGCGCCGATTTTTTTACAGGTAAATTACAGGTGAATGTTATTTTTCATTTATCATTATAGACCTCTTCCTTTCGCCAGTAGTACAAATGTTATTCATTATTATAGACCTCTTCCGTTCGCCAGTTGTACAAATGTTATGAATTGTCAATAATAACATGTATATAACTGTTGTCCTCAGTCTGCTCACCACGGGGAGGTGGAAGTAGGATTTTGAGCAGGATAAGTCAATTTAAAAGCACTATGTTCACATACTTTAAAATCAAGAAGTAAAAACCCAAGATAAAAGCACTCTGTTTTTACTTTGTTTATACTAAAATGACGAATTTAAAATCTATTTACAACATTAAAATCCATAAAAACGGAATACACTAAAATCATAAATCTGTTCTTGCCGAGTATTTATAGGCAACACAAGTCATCTAATATATTCCTTTCTTGTGATTTCTTCTCTATATTTGTCGTAATTGTCAGTAACGAAGTCCATCTTTTCTTTCTCTGGCTAACGTACTGATGCAGGCATTTCTAGATTTCGCATTTTAACATACGTAGCGTCCTGGATTTTCTTAACTTAAACATAAGTGAACAACGTTTATAACCAGATTTTACCAATATACATTCAAGGTATAGTACATGTACAAATATTTACTCACCTGTGTTAAACTGTAAATGCAATTAGGAGCAAATATAAAATCAGCGCAAATGAAAAAATGAAATCGGCGCAAATGAAAGAATGAAAATTTTAAAAATCGGCGCAAATGTCATACGCCCTCTAAAACGGTATGTGGATTTTGAATAAACCTGTTGACACCATCTCTCCGTGTGAAACTAAAAATGATAAATGTGCAGTATTAAATACATTTATCATTGTTAAACTTCAAATTATATCAAATTAATAAGTAATTTGTAGTAATTATTGTACTGGTAGTTTTAGAAAAAGGTCATGAAAAAATGTGTTTTTATATTTTAAAAAACAATAATGTAAAATATTTGATTGACAGAAACAGAAAACTTGTGGGTATGAATGTTGTGGTAAGTATACCGGTTCGTCGTTGAAGACCATAAAAGAGCATCTGGAATCTTCATTCTTTAATTTAATTACCATGTTTCTCTATTCTTTATTTAAGCACCCCGATATTCTCTATTCTTTTTTTTTTTTTTGTCTATTTTTTGTCTATTAATTCTTCATTATTCTAGCCATTTATTCTGCACTTTTTTCTTTAATATTCTCTATTCTGTAAACCCCATTTAGATCCACATATATGGTGACCTCATACCTTTCTGAATATCTTCGTTGAGAAATTAAGACCCTAAGATTGGTCTTTAATGAATTTTGCTATTCTTTTAAGATCCCTTTTTAGTCATAAAGGCTATAAAGCTCCACGGGTATTCAATCATTTATAGGGGCCTCGGTGGCCGAGTGGTCTAAGTAGTTACTACTGTAATCACTAGCCAGTCAACACTGAGGTTGTGAGTTCGAACCCCGCTCGTGCGGGTGCACTCCACTCCAATCTTGATTGACTAGGATTGTCAGTTTTCCTATCGAAGGTCGGTGGTTTTCTCCGGGCACTCCGGCTTCCTCCACCAATAAAAACTGACCGCCACGAAATAGCCCAAAAGCGGTGCTTAAAAGTGGCGTAAAAACACCAAAAATCAAAAAATCAAAATCAAATCAATCATTTATACATCCTTTTGGTTTAAATTGATAAAGTTTTATTTTCATACTCTAAAGGCTATTTAGTTAATTCTATTTTGCTGGATAACAGTGTACTGTTACTTCTATATGTGAAATAAAAACTATATTTCATTTATAAACCGTTATGTTATTCAATTCTTTTTTACATTACCCCGTTAAATCTGACGGCATTTTCTTCAGTCTAGAACACACATGACAGTTACTCCATATGAGAAACTAGAGCTGTAACATTTCAGATCACCTTCCAAGCAGGGATCGAAGATCGTAAAATCGTCAATCAGTTTAAATCTTCGGAAATGATCGGAGACCAGACGACCTTTCTTCGGAAGTACGAGTTCAGATTTCATTCACAGTATCTGGAACGTCATAGTCACATGCCGTCATAAACGTCACTTTAGTCAACGACTCCATGTCAACGTCAAACAGAGGAAAACGATAAGAAAGCAAGTCAGAGGTAAGCTTCAAAGTCCTTCAAAGGGAGTCTAACAAACAGAGGAAGACGATAAGAAAGCAAGTCAGAGGTAAGCTTCAAAGTCCTTCAAAGGGAGTCTATAAAGTTCTTCTTAGTAGTCAAAGCTATAATTGACTGAAAATCCAAGTTCATTTATGGTTAGCATACATATATATATTGTGTAGCTAAGGGTTTGTTCTAGGTTAGGGCTGTTGTTAAAGTTACATGTAGGTAAAAGTAGGGAATAGGTTTACGATTAGGGTTAGATTAGTAGATCCCTAAAGTAAAAAAAGACTGACTTTACTATTGTTTCCTTATATGTATTTTAATTGATGAGCTAGTTTACATTATTTTTTTACAGCCCCGCTTCTGATATCTTAATTAATGTTTCATGCTTTTATTTGTCATTGTGTTTTTTTTTTTTGTCAGCGTGCAAAGGTAGTGTTTTTGAATAGGCCGGATAGTCCGTATGGCAGAGAAAAGGTTAATTATGCTGCACACTTCAATGTTTTGTTTGTGAATTTTATGTGAGAAAAGAGAGGCGGAAGATTCCAAAGGAACAATCAAAAATTTGAAGTCGAAGAAAAAACGAACATATCAGAAATATACATCAGAAAAAAAAAACGAAAAACGGCGTTAAACAAACCTTTTTTCCTTTGGGTTCCCAGCACAAGCACTACATAGAAAACTAAAGACTGAACAACACAAACCAAAATTAAAATCAGTTGTGGGGGATCCCAGATGCTCCGAAATGTGACAATATATTCTGATGTTTTGTAAAATTTGTTGTAAGAGATTAATCGAGCTCAGATTCAGATTGCTTAATGTTACATGTATGTTTATATATCAATGTGTCGACTTTTGATATGTGCTTAAATCCGAAACTTGTGTTAACGTTACTGAACATTAGTATTGGAATAAACAGAGATTATTTGTTGATAATTTAACCTGTGTAAACTATCATTTTAAGTTACCTGTTAAATTTGAACACAATATCTAATTCCAATTTTGTTAGATTTAAACAGGTTTGCCGGGTCCTATTATAGCTTACTATACATTATGGGTTTTGATCACTGTAGGAGGTCATTTAATGACCTATTAGTCAGGAGCCTGTAATTAAGTGGCTGTCGTTTGCTGCCGTTTATCATATTTGTTTTTCATTTATTGTTTTGTACATAAATCAGGCCGTTGTTTTTCTCGTTTGAATTGTTTTAAAGCTTGCTGTGTGGTATGGGTTTTGCTCATTGTGGAAGGCTTTACGGTTACCTATAGTTGTTAAGAAGGGAACATCTGCCATAAGTATACATTTCTTAATTTGTTAAATCTAATTTCTTAGTTTGTAAGATGTATGTTTGCTTTTGATACAGGTAGGAACGAGACATTTATACATATTTGACATTCCTATGGTCCCGGCATAATGTATCACCCCCTGGTGTCAGCTGCCTTTAGGAAACCATAATGCTTTTCTATTTGCTGCTGACACAGGATGGCCCGTAAACATGTTTAACTTTTTTTTTTTGGCTAGTTGATTATATGTTTATCTAAACTAATTATGTGCGGATATCTATTTTTGGCTGTTTGTTTGTTATCTATATCAACTACACTTGCATTACAATGCATTATATATTTAAAATTATAGGTTCTTTATATATATATTACTTTAAGAACTTAAATTTTTCTTTATTTTTTTTTTATCATTCATTGTTTGTATTGTATTGTGAAAATTGTTGATGTTGTAATGTTTATGCCCTTTGGGGCCCATAACTTTTTCTTCTTCTTCTGTATTTTTTCTTTCCGTTTCATGAATTTCTACATTTCTTGATTTGTGAAATGTAACTTCTTAATGTGTAAATGCAATTTCTTAACTTGTTTACATATTTTCTTCGTTCGTTACATGAAATTCTACATATCTTAATTCGTGAAATGATGTTTCTTTATTTGTTCAGTTAAATTTCTGAATTTGTAAAACGGAATGTCTATGTATAGGACGTATATTAGTTTTTCAATCGAAATATTAAAACTTTCTATCTGTGAACTGTATATTCTTGGTTTGAGTCACGTTTATATATTTATATATATAAACAAGTCTAAATTGAAATCAACGTTCAAACCTATGATTGCGTTGGATAAAAACCGCTAATTATATATATATATATTCGTTTTGGGGCATTAACCCATCGTTATATTTTTCTGTGTGCTCGAAGAGAAGAAGGGCGACATGAACTTCTTCCAATGTAATATTGGGGTGCTATGAGCTAGAACACATTAAAATTTAATGCAACAAAAGAACCAAAAAAATTTATTCAACATATCTTTCACACAGAAAAAGATAAAAGTTTGAGTACATGCCCCAACGCTTCTGTATCAAATATCCAACCCTAGACAATTTCAAGTCTTAAGTATCTTCCACCTGCCGTGTTTTAGTTGGGCACCAAATGTAGAGTATGCTTTCTTTTTAAAATTAATATTATCCAAGCACGGATCGAACCCTTGAATAGAAAAGAAACAAGATTACCATATAATTCTACTATGGTAAGCAGATGTATAAACATGCATGAATTTAGAAATTGACCCAGAGGGATGCGGAGTGTCGGTTTTTATCATAATATACTTTCATTGCAAACAGAAACACTTTGCTTATCTGTTTTTAGCATTTTAAATCTCCATCACAATGGGACGTGTAACAGTAAATAAGGAGAGTGGTGATGAACTGTCGGATGAGGTGTCCCAGGCTTCGGAGTTAGCAAAGTTACAAAGACAACTTCGTGTTATGGAAAATGATAGAAGATCCTATGCTGAGGAGGCCCAAAATTATCTCAGAAAGCAACAGTTAGTTTAAATAAATATGCTTTAATTATAAATTAAGCTTTTAATTCACAATTTCTGAATCTAACGTTGTGATTGGGTAACTATTTCCCACACAATTGGAATTCAACCAATGACGTGACGTTATTTTTATTTTTTTAATCTTTTGGTACGAACAATGAAATTACCCATAGTCTTGTAGATTCTGAAATGGCGAATTGAAATAAAAAACGTATACATTTGCGAAGTTAAATGTAACAAACTTGTTTTAAGGATAGTTTTATATTGTGTCGTATGGTATATGTGTACGATCGTAAACAATGTAAGTCCAATGTTCAAAAAAAATATTTCAAATAAAAAACAAACATTTGATTAATGCTGATATAAAAATAGACCCTGCACCACACGTGACACCCGTCTGCAGCTGGTTAATCATTATGCAAGCGACTAGTATCCATTAGATGATTAAAAGGAAGAAATTATAACTGATAAGCATGTAGTACATGTAACTATTGAGTCGTCGTACGTTGTGTTGAGAAAAAAAGTTGACCACAAGCAATAACATATTTAACTTCTAAAATTAGTTAATTTTCTTTCTTTCAAAATCTATAACCAAAATATGACTTTCAAGAAAATAATTTTCATTTGCAGTTTTATGTTTTATACAAGGTGTGAAATAGTGAACTTAAATAAAGAGGATATCGCTTTCAAAATCTGTAACCAAAATGTGAATTTCAAGAAAATAATTTCTAAACAATTTCATTTTCTCTACAAGGTCTGAAATAGCGAACTTAAGTAAAGAGAATATCGATATGAGAACAGTATTGAAGCTAGCTCAGAGTGACAAGAATGAGAACAAAGACCTGGATGATACTGAGAAGCTGTTTAATCTAATAGAAAGTCTGGATTACTATAACAACAGCATCAAGTTAGAGAAAATGAGAGTAACTGAATTAGATACTGAGGTACTAATAATGTATGCATGTAGGTTAGGTCATGCGAAATTGATTTTTCTTATATTTTTTCTTTATTTATCTATTTCCTTATTTATTTATAAAAGGTAATTTCTATGTCTGATTTTCCAAACTATATTTAGATGTGGTAAGCCACGTTAAGCCACCTTAATATATTTAACCTTAATATTTTATGATTAGCAGGTAAAATGTCTAATGCTTCTATATCTTCAAACTATTCCTTTTCAATGATAGTTCATATCTGAAATAAGATGAACTGTTAAAATGTTCGAGTTCTGAACATATATTAGAAGCAAATAGGTCCGGTAAACAATATAACATTGTGACTTTGAAATGAAGAAGAACAAGTGCAATGAAGTTGCCTTCCTTTGCTTCTGTTTAGTAAAAGTGTGTAAGGATTTTGTGTCGTGCATTTGGTTCTCCCTACAGACGTTCCTATGGAAACAGTGTTATAGACAATGCTATAACACTCTATTCCTGTTGTGTCATAGGTCTTCCCTGATTCATTCTGTTCAGTTCTTCATATAATAGCACACACTGCTTTGTAACGTCACATATAATTGACCACACCTTAATGATTTTGACACCGTGTCTATCATGAAAAACGCACAGTAACTATCAAACAAATCGATTATCAGATTTTCATCGTAATGATATTTTCCGCGTATTGATATTTTAGAATATGACATGACAATTTTTATATTAGACTATTAACAGTCCTTGGTCATGACATCAGCCCAAGAGTGCTGATAGTGCCCTAGAGCTTGTATTAAAGATTGACACTAAAGGACGACAATTTAATAAAATTCTCAAAACAAGGTGACTTTTCCTTTTGTGAACTTTCCACTTTTATGCAGCAACATTTAAACAGCACCTGCAAGTGCAGTATATATCACCGGGTTTCTGCTCCCTTTATCTTTTATCAATTAAGACCACAACCCCGGCCTCCTTTCGTCGTTTTTGTTTCCATCGTAAGCTATCTATTTGTCATTCAGAAGCAACATGACGGGTGCTACTAGTGGGGCAGAAACTGCTTACCATCATGACCACATGAGTTCTACATAGCTTTGATTTAGATTTATAGCATTATGATGAATCATTCGCTTATTTTTAATGATATATATTTACTACTTCTATACTAGTATTTTATTTTGATCTGAAAATAATTTAATTTTGGATGTAACGTGTCTTCTGATTGGCTGACGTTGTTTTGTTTATCAGCTCATAGACATAATTTTGTCATGTGACCGTGACGTCATCAACGTTTTTTCATGGTTTACTCTGGTTTAAAATGGAATTTAGAATTAAATTATAAGAAATGACTGTAATATTTTTTCTGTCTATTCGAAATAACATAAAAAATGTGGTGCACACTTTAAAATAACCCGCTACGCGGGTTATTCAGTGTGCACCACATTTTTGATGTTATTTCTTCATAGACAGAAAAAATATTACAGTCATTCCTTAATAAAAAACATAACCCAAAATTCTGAATTTTTTAAACTTCATGAAATCGAGCCATTACGTTTGATAAAGTTAACCCTAACTTATGAATTCCTCTTCTGGTGTAATGTGAAATAATTTAATTTTGGATGTAACGCGTCTTCTGATTGGCTGACGTTGTTTTGTTAATCAGCTCATAGACATAATTTTGTCATGTGACCGTGACGTCATAAACGTTTTTTCATGGTTTACTTAAGGAATGACTGTAATATTTTTTCTGTCTATGAAGAAATAACATCAAAAATGTGGTGCACACTGAATAACGCGCGTAGCGGGTTATTTAACAGTGTGCACCACATTTTTTATGTTATTTCGAATAGACAGAAAAAATATTACAATCATTCCTTATAATTTAATTCTAAATTCCATTTTTAAGGAGTAAATCATGAAAAAAAACGTTGATGACGTCACGGTCACATGACAAAATTATGTCTATGAGCTGATAAACAAATTCTCTCAGCCAATCAGAAGACGTGTTACATCCAAAATTAAATTATTCCGGTTTAAAATGGAATTTAGAATTAAGTTATAAGAAATGACTGTAATATTTTTCTGTCTATTCGAAATAACATAAAAAATGTGGTGCACACTTTAAAATAACCCGCTACGCGGGTTATTCAGTGTGCACCACATTTTTGATGTTATTTCTTCATAGACAGAAAAAATATTACAGTCATTCCTTGAACAAAAATCAAACAAAAAAAATATTGTTTCTATGATATAAGTCACACAATTACAATCGGATAAATCGATTTTCATCTTTCATCGTATTTATTCTTATGATATTATGATGTATTATCAGCACTAGGTCATGATATCAGCCCAAGGGCAAACGACGAGAGAGTTGATATTGACCGAGGGCTGATAGTTAAATTGACAATAAAGGACGACGGTTAACTAAATTTTTTTAGCAAAGGGTGACTTTTCCCTTTCTGAATTTTCCATCTTTTGCGGTTGTACTAAGGATGAAATAGCAAGTTAAGTCTGGTTTGACAGTGCTTCCAGCCTCAAAAATGTATTACAGTCATACTTTTGTTTTCTGTAGATTCGTAAGGTGGAAAGAAAAATTGCCAACAAGAGAAAGCAAAGCGGAAGTAACACGGAGATCACGACAGAAAAAAATATCCTGAGGAAAGTCCATGTTATGGAAAATCGTCTTAATAAGGTGATTATTCTATCTGTATAACTACTAAAGTTTCACTTAAAATTCAATATTCTTGTGAGAAAAGAAAAAAAGCACTCTCAAGACTTATGAAATGTACTCGGAGAATAGAATAAACAATAAAAGTTACTGCTTCTTCACACCCATCGTACGTTGACCAGTTTTACTTCTCAGTATGCAGACCTGCGTAATAACACAAGATTGTTTTCGAAATAAAACAGCCATTACTTGTTCTCTCTTAGTATTTTTCAATTTGCCCTCCCCTTTTGATGAACTCTATCCAATCTTCTGAGAGTTACTTATACACAGACAAATGTTAATATGCTGACGAACATATAGCCTGCTATGCGGTATGGGATTTGCTCATTGATGAAGGCTGTACGGTGACATATAATTGCTTCCTTCTACGTTGTTTGGTCTCTGGTGGATAATTGTCTCATTGGCAGTCGTATCCAGTCTTATTAGTTTTTTATACATGAATTTACAGGCTACAATTAAGTTCAACAATCAGTTAGCTGTTAACGAACGTCTTCGTAAGGATATAGACCACCTCCGACAGGAGAGGAGTGTATTTGATAACTTGTACAAAAAGATAAGTAAGGAGCTCAATGAAACTACAAAGAAAATGAATGACGTAATCTCTAATGCTTCAGTGGCCTATGAAGAAAGGTAAATTGAATTTACATTAATATATCTTGATGTTTTAAGATAAATGCATTTTAAATAGTTGTAGACTGTAGTATTGTAGTATTAATTAATGATGTTTTCATAATGGCCCTGTTACATGTATATGTCCATAGTCTGTATTAATGGTCTCGGATGCTATAATGTCTCTCGGTGTTGCCTCGGGGCACAAAAACTGACCGAGGACATATAACAAAGTCATTATGAAAACAGAAATTGCTTAATACTTTTTTTTTACAAAACTAGAATCAAAGCAGTGCCTACTACAGCCAACAGTGCATTATTGCGGTGCCATTGTTAATAAAACCAGTCTTTAAGATTTGATATTAAACTAATATATACATTTCATAGTACCAATAGAAATACGGCTTTATTTTCACTTTCAAATCCGTTCGCTGCTAGTTCTTCTGCACAAGAACGAGTTTTAATGAGAAATAAACATGCCTTTTGCTTACATCCACTTCATTTGAACTTATGTGGATAGTTGTCTCATTGGCAATCATACCTCATCTCCTTATTTTTATATGAAATATACATTTATATTTCCGATGTTACCTTTCTTCGAACTATGATTAAGGATTCGAATAGAGTCGTTCACGAACACTTACAGTCATCATCAATATCGAGTGCTTCATAATAATTGGTTTTATCCATAATGGCCCCACAATAATGCCCTGTTGGCTGTAATTTGATTAATAAAGGGATTTATAAATTCCACAAAAATATATTATATCTACCGAGGCTAGCAATCTTTCCATAAACTCCGAAACATAGAAATGAACCAAAAATGTTTAACTACGTGTTTGTACATAATGCATTTTTGACTTTGTTTACAGCATAAATACTTAGATATAAGAAGATGTGGTATGAGTTCCAATGAGACAACTCTCCATTCAAGTCACAATTTATAAAAGAACCATTATAGGTCAAAGTACGGTCTTTAACACGGAGCCTTGGGTCACTCCGAACAGCAAGCTATAAAGGGCCCCAAAAATTACTAGTGTAAAACCATTCAAACGGGAAAACCAACGGTCTAATCTATATAAAAAACGAGAAACGAGAAACACTTATGAACCACATCAACAAACGACAACTACTGAACATCAGATTCCTGACTTAGGACAGGTGCAAACAATTGCAGCGGGTTTAAACGTTTTTTTAATGGTACCAAACCTTCACCCTTATTTGAAACAATAGTGTAACATCACAACATAGAAAAACACAATATAAAATATCAATTGAAATGGCTTAACTCAATCAAAAGACATATTAACCCAATGAACATACACTGAACAAATCAATTTGATCTATGATACAATGCAAATACAAAATAAATAAACTAAATGTCTTCTTTTAGAGAACCACTGAAAGGAATGAAATAAAACATGAATGTTCCTTGTGAGGTGCTGACAAAGTGTTGTAACTTTGTAGGCGATCAATCATCCAAGATGGCCGCCAGCGGGGACTTAGTTTACCATAGGACCCTATGGGAAATACATACAAATGTTTTCTTTTAGAGAACCACTGAATGGAATGAAACCAAACATGGCATGAATGTTCCTAATGAGGTGCTGGCCAAGTGTTCTTACTTTGTAGCCAATCAATCATTCAAGATTGCTGCCAGCGGGGAACTTACTAGTTTAACAAAGTATCCTATGTGAAATACATACAAAAGTCTTCTTTTGAAGAACCACTGAATGGAATTAAACCAAATATGGCATAAATGTTCCTTATGAGGTGCTGATCAAGTGTTGTTACTTTGTAGCAAATTCATCAACCAAGATGGCTGCCAAAGGGGGACTTAGTTTTACAAAGGACCCTATGGGAAATATATACAAATGTCTTCTTCTAGAAAAACCGCTTAATGGATTGAAACCAAACATGGTATGAATGTTTCTTTTGAGGTGCTGACCAAGTGTTGTTACTTTGTAGCTGATTTGTCATTGTCCTTATAATGTCATTTTCTACAATTTCAATGAATTTATTGGTAATTTCTGTAAACATTACAAAAGCCTTCTGCTTTTGATTAAATTACGGGGCCAATATTAAACCAAATTTGGCCTCAACCATTATTAGGGTATCTGTTATGATTTTAATCTATTTTTTACATGATTTCCAAAACCAAAGAATCAGGTGAGCGACACAGGCTCTTGGGAACCTCTTGTCATATTACCGGGAAATCACGGTATTTCATTGCAACCAATATATGCATCTTGATATCCACCGAATTGTCTGTATAAGAAGTCGGTACTTCAATTTTATAAAACTTTAAGAGTATTTATACAGAGATGAAGCACAAACAAAGATGATAGCACTGAAAGAAAGAAGCGAAAAAGACATTGCACAGCATGACTCGGAAATGAAAGATCTGCAGAGGGTTATTCACCATGACAACAAACTGAAAGAGTTTTTCAATGCAAAGTCAAATGATCGTGCACTGTATAAAGAAGAAGAAGAGGCAAAGAAAAGCAAAAGTAAGAAATATTGCAGATGTTGTGTTTTCTAAATTATAAGGCCAGTACCAGAATATCATTCAAGAGAAGAAATATTGGCTCTTTTTATTCTTGTCGACAAAAGTTTTAGTATAACCGTAGACTTACGAAGCGCTTAATTTTTGAAAAAATGTTCATCGCGAGGTACATAAAGAATAAAATTATTATGCCGGTAGAGAATATTCAAGAAAAAGGGTAAATATTGGCCCAAGATATTGATGAATACAACAGAGACAAAATGCGATGCAAATAAGATTACTTAATATTGACATTTGATTTAAAATTCTTTATTTTCGAGGAAAGTTTACTTAGTAGTAAGAAATGTGTAACCAATCTTTCGTTCATTCAAGAAAACTTTTGACAAAAAAAAATGGTATATAAATTTAATAGTAAAGATGACTCACGTATGCTTTTCGTAGATTACGTCCATTCTTCATTACCCTCTAAACCAAGGGTAAAAAATGTTTTATTCCCCTGCCTAAACTTTTTATATTTTCGGAACATGAAATATTCATTTACATACAATGCTTCTTACACGACACAAACATTGATAAACATTGATCAAAAGTTAATTACTTATTCTAGTATGACAAGTTTTTCTCTGAATTGTTTTTGCCGTCTGAAATTATTTTTGAACATAATAATGACTATACTTTTGCTTTAAAAAACAACGTTGTTAATTAAAAAACGTTAAGTATACATTAAGGGCATACGATACAGATACAGGGGAGGTAATGACGTTGCTAACGTAAAAAGATATTTTTCACGACGTCAAACTGTGACATATCGGGAAAAGATGCATTTTCGACTAATTTTTATCATTCAGATTCAATTTGATTTTACTTGAAAACGAGTTCATGGACCCCTCTTTTTAAAAATGACATTTGGCTTGATTATGTATTTAGATTATTTGTGCCAATTTTTAGCTCACCGGGGCCCGAAGGTCCCCATGTGAGCTTATGCCATCACTTGGCGTCCGTCGTCGTCCGTCGTCTGTCGTCGTCGTCTGTCGTCCGTCGTCGTCTGTCGTCGTAAACTATTTCAAAAATCTTCTCCTCTGAAACTACTGGGCCAATACCTTCAAACTTTAACTAAATGTTCCTTAGGGTATCTAGTTTATAAATTGTATCCGAAGTTTTGATCCATCGACAAACATGGCCGCCATGGTTAAAAATAGAACATAGGGGTCAAATGCAGTTTTTTGCTTATATCTCAAAAACTAAAGCTTTTAGAGCAAATCTGACAGGGGTAAAATTGTTCAATTGGTCAAGATCTATCAGCCCTGAAATTTTCAGACGAATCGAACAACTCATTGTTGGGTTGCTGCCACTAAATTGGTAGTTTTAAGGAAATTTTGCAGTTTTTTGTTATTATCTTAAATATTATAATAGATAGATATAAACTGTAAACAGCAATAATGTTCAGCAAAGTAAGATCTACAAAAGAGTTTATATGACCAAAATTGTCAATTGACCCCTTAAGGAGTTATTGCCCTTTAAAGACAATTTTACACAATTTGTTCATCAAGTTTGCTAACATTTAAAAATCTTCTCCTCTGAAACTACTGGGCCAAATACCTTCAAACTTCATCTAAATGTTCCTTAGGATATCTAGTTTATAAATTGTATCCGAAGTTTTAATCCATCGACAAACATGGCCGCCATGGCTAGAAATAGAACATAGGGGTCAAATGCAGTTTTTGGCTTATATCTCCAAAACTAAAGCTTTTAGAGCAAATCTGACAGGGGTAAAATTGTTCAATTGGTCAAGATCTATCAGCCCTGATATTTTCAGACAAATCGAACAACCTATTGTTGGGTTGCTGCCACTAAATTGGTAGTTTTGAGGAAATTTTGCAGTTTTTTGTTTTTATCTTGAATATTATTATAGATAGATATAAACTGTAAACAGCAATAATGTTCAGCAAAGTAAGATCTACAGAAAAGTTAAATGACCAAATTTGTCAATTGACCCCTTAAGGAGTTATTGCCCTTTAAAGACAATTTTACGAAATGTGTTCATCAAGTTTGCTAACATTTAAAAATCTTCTCCTCTGAAACTATTGTGCCTAATACTTCTTAACTTTGAATGAATGTTCCTTTAGGAATCTAGTTTATGAATTGTATCCGAAATTTTGATCCATCAACAAACATGGCCGCCATGGCTAAAAATAGAACATAGGGGTGTAATGCAGTTTTTGGCTTATATCTCAGAAACTAAAGCATTTAGAGCAAATCTGACATGGGGTTAAACTGTACAAAAGGTCAGGATCTATCAACCCTGAAATTTTCAGACACACCGAACAACCCATTGTTGGGTTGCTGCCACTAAATTGGTAGTTTTAAGGAAATTTTGCAGTTTTTGGTTATTATCTTGAATATTATTGAAGATAAAGATAAACTGTAAACAGCAAAAATGTTCAGCAAAGTAAGATCTTCAAAAAAGTTTAATATGACCAAAATTGTCAATTGACCCCTTAAGAAGTTATTGCCCTTTAAGGACAATTTTACACAAGTTGTTTTATGTTTTTTAACTTTAAAAATCTTTCAAATGAATCTAGTATAAATTTTGTATTTCATTTCCTTGTACGTCAAGAAACATAGACGCTATGGCTAAAATGGAACATATGGGTAAAAAGCAAAAATAATCATTGATGAAAGATTTAAGCAACAAAAATAACAGGTGAGCGATTCAGGCTCTTGAGAGCCTCTTGTTATGAACATTTCACCGATGATTTTTTTTAAATTAGATAAATATACAGCAAAAATGCCGTTCTTTGACTAAAATCATGAAAATGTGATAAAAATGAATAATTTCCAAAGAATTGTTACACAAATTCAAAGCACATTTATGTAGAGAAGATATTCCAGATGCTTTTACAAAAATCCGCTTGCGTTTATCTTTTGAAACAAAAAAGTTAAGTTTGTTTTTCCAAAGGATAGAAATGTCCAAGAAACCAAAATTTCCAGTAAATGTCTAAAATTTCGACCCCATTTATCTCTAAAAGTAGCACATGAAGGTATATTTTTTATTACATATTAGAATTGACTAGGATAAAAAATAGCTTGTATGCAAACTTTCGTCAAAAATTCCGCGCGTAACGTCACACTATAGATAGTCCCCTTCAGCATGTTCAGAGGGGAGTATGATAGGTTGGTTCTCTCCGTAAAATATTCAGTATGCCTTCGGAATATAGGTATTGTCAAACTTGTCAAATAACGTCTTGGGTACCAGTACAGGATTATGAAGTTTTGTTCAATGTTACGTGGGGTCCTCTCAACCAATCAAATGTTGATTTCGCACTCAATATTTACAAACATTGGAATAAAATGGTTTAAACCCTTCACAGTTCATGCATGCACGAGCATGCCCCGTGTTACGATATAGATCTGGACCATGTGCTGTTCGTTGTATTTGTTTGTACGTTTTTTTGTTTTAAGATAGTCGGCTGATGTGGTCTGTTGTACTGTCCAATATATATATACCCTTTAAGTATGTATTACTCGGATGCCTCAGGTTATTTTGATGGAAAAAATAAAAACATTACGTTATAAATTTCATGCGTCTGAAGCGTTTTTCTGGATTTACCTTCATCAGGAACGCTCAAAGCCGAATATTTGAAAGCTAAGGACATATAAGAACCGAAACAGACGGAGAGCTATATGACCGAAAGGACCTTAAAATTGCGAAATCCATCTAAGGTTAACTTTACCCGAGGGAGTTGAAAACTTAGTTTCTTTATGATTTCAAAATTTATAGACGGACATTTTATAAAGGTTTGTTATGAATCATGTCAGTACCGAATTATTGACTACTGAGCTGATGATACACTCGGGGACTGATAGTCCACCAGCAGAAGTATCGACCCAGTGCTGTTGTCATATTTGTTTCACAAACTGTACAATATCTTTAGGGATTTGATAGTGATAATAACCTATTAACAATTAAATATTTGGACAAAAGAAAACCGATCTTTCTTACATTATTTGCTGTACATCTAGATTCAAAGGACAAAGATACTGACGCCGAAAATGTACAAATACAAACGTTTGAAGAAGCGATAGAAAAAATAAAAGAAGCCACAGGGGAAACAGATATCGAAACGATCGTCGACAATTTCATCAAGAAAGAAGATGAACATTTTGCTCTGTACAACTACGTCAACGAACTAAACGACGAAGTTGAACACCTCCAACGTGAAATAGACGAAATGAACAAAGAGATCAAACGAATTGAAGCGGACGGTATCAAACAGGAAGACGAGAGAATAAAAGTTTTACAAGAATTAGAGGTAAGAATATTCACATTGTAATATATGCACGCATCATCAAAACTGGAAGACTGTTTGAATATATAAAATAATAGCATTTTTGTTTTTGATACGGACTTTATTAGCAAGAATATAAATCGATCCCTTAAGGGCGAGCTGATATTCGACCTGATGAAGTCAGTACCAAAATATCAAATGCCATTATTCTTTTAATCGGAAGTTTGTCTTGACAATATGTTTTTTTTTTTTTTGTTTTTTTTTTTTTTTTGAGAATATTAAATAAAATGGAATAGTTAGAAATATAGATTCTACCACTGCATCGAGTGTGATACGATATTTATCCACTCGAGACAGTTAAATTTTCAAATTTAATACGCGAGGCTCGCCGAGCGTTTTAAATATTTAAAATTTAACTGTCGAGAGTGGATAAATATCGTATTACACGAGATTTGGTGGTGGAATCTGTTTCTCTAATGATTTTCAAACAATATGCAGGCAAACTTATTCCGTCTTTTCGAATGATCTGTAAAAAGATGTATTCTTTCTATGTGACGTCATCAGGCATGGTCGCCTTTGTTCATGAGTTCACAATAGGAAATTAAGAGGAAAGCAAGTAAATTCGACGTCATAATCGGATTTTAACTAATGAAGAACTGAGATCAAACGAACCACACGTTGATTAAATTTTTTTTATACAATGGGTGCAAAAAGGGATAAATTGACGAAGAATTAGATAAACATATATATATACTCGTACACAACGTTGTGATATAGCTGTTCTGTTGTATGAACGAAGTCGCCTGTATTTCATTGATCAATTGACGCGGGTGGACATGGAAACGTGACGTTGCTGCACTGATACGCTACTTCATTGCCTAATATTTGAGAATATTATTAATTGAATATTTTTAAGGATTTGTGATTCGTTAAAACTTGGTCACATGTACATTTGTATTTACTCAGGTTGCACACCAATACTTTTGTGTTTTATCTTTTCGTAGGTCAAAAACATATTGCACAGGGCATACGGCATGTTACTAAAATACATTCTAGGAAACCCCAATTTTACATTGCTCATGCAATAGTTGTTGATTAATGATATAACATTTGTAGCCTTTGGTTGAGGTCAGTACGATGTTATATCGATCTAGAGAAGCATATCGACTTCGGACTTCGTCCTCAGTCAATATGCTTCTCTTATGTCGATATAACCTCGTATCGACCTCATACAAAGGCTATAATTGTATAGTATCATGTCCTGTCCAGTTGTGTCCATGATCTAAAAAAATATTCGGCATTCTAATATGACGTTCTTCTTTCACTTTGGTAACAAAGCCATGTTCTTATTGCAATAAAACATGGGCTGCACGTCAGTTGTTATTTGAACAACGCCAGAGATCAAAATGGACATTTGTGTTGGTGTTGCTCGCTAGGAAATTAAATAAAATATTCTACAAGTAAGTGAGTGTACATGTATCTGTTCATTTTGTATCGTGAAACGGTTGACTTCATGAAATCAAAATTGCTGCCTTTCGGACGGGTTTCAATTTCAGTTATGTCAATCACGTTCAGCCCAGGTTTATTGAACATGGATTTGTTTCCAAAAGTGAAAGAAGAACGTCCTATTAGAATATTTACTATGCCTGCCTACAATAGTTCTGAATAACGTTTTTCAAACAGTCTTATGCCCGTAATAAAAATTTTTGTCAAGCTTTTCTCAAATGACGCCAAATATAAGACTTTAACGCCTGTCACTGCTACGAATTTACGCGATCTCCTTTGCGCTTGGAATACGACATGTGACCACTACGTCCAGTTACGCTTGGTTTTCATCAGATTTCCATACGTACATTTTTTTAATACGCCTTATAACTTCGTTCGGGATTATTTGTCGTTAAAACAGATAAATTTCCAATTATCCTTACACTGCATGTACATGTTTCAATATAATTGTTCACATTAGAACATTCTAACCAACAAGTTATATTCGTGTAAGAATAACAAATTACATCGACAACTGTCCAATAATTTTGATCTGATTTTGCATACGCAATCTGTCTGTTTAAAACAGAGAAACGATCAGACGTATAATGCTTCTGGTTGAACTAGGTATCTCTAAATGTATCAATTTTTGGACGTTACTTTTATTCAGGTAATAAAAATTAACGAAGTTACAATATTCAAAGTGTTGTCATATAGTGTGAATATTTAAAAGATACATGATTAATATCATTTTCCCCCTCAGATACGAGGAGATAAAATAACAAAGGAAACGGAACAGGGCAACAAAAAGCTAGTGGAAATAAATAAAACGCTAGACCAACTAAAAAGTGGTGTTCTTCATCTGTTTGGAGCCATAGATTGTGACCCATCGTCCATTAAAGAAATGCTTGGCAGTGAAAAGGGCGTCACCAATAAAAATATCATGAAGTACATGGGAATAATTGAGGGAAAGACCATGGATTACTTACAGAAACATGAATACAATGAAATGGAGGTAGTATGTATTCGCTCGCGCGTTAAATATTGTTAAGAATTGTGGGTAATTTCTTTAGTGGTACATTAGAAAGAAATATTGTTGCTTCATCGGTTTTTAGACTTTGTTTACTAATGAAAACGGGAATTTACCTTTTTTGAAAGAAATCACCCAGAAAGTATTTGATTTTGAAACTGAAAATTTCAGGCAAAGTGAGAAAGAGAAAAGAACGCAAGAAAGTTTGTCTCATTAAAGTAGTGTAAGCTTAATCAAATTAACCCGTACGATCGTTAATTTGATAAGGCTCTAGTAGTATCTCTGATTTAAGCCAGACATGTAAAACGTTAATTATGTTACTTATAGGATCTTAAAAAGCTGTGACTTCGAATCCAACTGACGAACGATGTGACTTCGAATCCGACTTACGAAACTGCGGGTTCAAATCCGACTGACGAAAGCTGTGACTTCGAATCTGACTGACGAAACCTGTGACTTCGAATTCGATTGAAGAAAGCTGTGACTTCGATTCCAACTGACGAAAACTGAGACTTCGAATCTGACTGACGAAAGCTTTGACTTTGAATCTGACTGACGAAAGCTGAGACTTCGAATCCGACTGACGAAAGCTGTGACTTCATGCCGACTGACGAAAGCTGAGACTTCGAATCGGACTGACGAAAGCCGTGACTTCTAATCCGAATGACGAAAGCTGTTAATGATTGCGATTCTTATACAAAATGGGGAACTTTTAAAGGAATAATCAATGTTTAGTGTTTTAAATAAAGACTTATAGTGAGATATCAAATGGAATACTTTACAGTTGAATTTTAGTTATACGAAATTCGTCTTAAATTTGTGAGAATTAGATAAGCCATTTTAATATAACTTCATTAATAGATTAACAAATACAAAGGATTCAAAGAATTTAAGCATAATATTTCAATCGGTTTTTTTTCTAGCTAATTGAACAGAAAAGCAACATCCATAAGTTTTATATGTTTCTGTTTTTTGAAAATATTAAAGATTAATAAAAATTATCCATCGATTACGTCTATATTATATATTTGTTCTGGTAGATGTATTATCAGAATGTAACTTAAGAAATAACAGTCTTTTGCTGAACATCTCATCGTTTCTTTTGTCACAAATTCTCTCAAATGACCGGGTGGTTACTTGTAAATTTCCATTCCTATCAAAAGTAAACAAAAGCATATGGGTATCTTTATTTTCGTGGGATGTGCAGAACATTATCTGCCTATATATATATATAAGTAGTTGGAGCAAATAAAAAAATACTAAAAGCACATTTTTTGTATTTCAGAAAAATCCACCTCCTCCTGAAAAGAAAGACAAGAAAGGAGAACCCACGACTCCTAGTACACAGATGTCAAACAAAGCGGCTGACCCTCCCCCAATTTCCATTAATCCACCATCAGCCGCGTAAGTAGATTTCCTCCCTTCGATAAAAATCAGTCCTATCTACTATAAGACCGATAACTGTCCATATTATAAACAAATAAGTCATTAAGAATACCAGGCTTATAATTTAGAAGACTAAAGCATTTCGCCTGCATAAGACTCGGGCTAATATGTAGATCGTCATCTATTCAAAATTAATCTGACGGTATATATCGTAAATTTCCTTGAACTTTTAATTATCATGAAAGCATATATTCAAACTAAATGATATTCTGTATTTCAAGAGGAGCTTTTTTTATTTTGTTTGTGTATCTTCAACTAGAAAGTCATTCATCTTCCAAATATTTAGTCAGGTTTATCGTCGATAGATTAACATAGTATTACATTATCATTTCTTTAATCTCTGATTAGTCATTGGTCCTAAAAATCTGTTCTCAGTCACGTGTGTTTTAGCCTCCTACCTCTGTTTGTCTTGCATGTCCAAGCAATGAACTAGAGTGTCAAAACCTTTGAAGATATTATCAATAAAAATCTGTATTTTCTAGTTAACGTTTTTATCGAAGAAGGTAGAGTTCGTGATTCCATATAACAAAAAAATAATGAAAAGATATTCAACGCTTGAACATTTGTATTTGGATTTAGACTTCTAAATATTTTGCCCTCGAGCATCACCGAAGCGACATCATTTATCATAATGCGCATTGGGAACCTTTTACGTTATTAACAAGCACTTCTAACAACTATTGTCTCGTGTATCTATCTTTCAAATTTGAACAAACTTCGAAGACTCAAAACATAGCAACCGGTACTTATATCTAAATGATTGAAATTTTAACTCATAAATGCCTCCATATCACATTATATGATCAGCGATCATATGTGTATATTGACAGTTAATCTTCTGATGTATGCATATTTGGAAGAACAATTTTCGTACTTGCGGTTGGTTTTATTTTTATTTTTATTAATGATAAAGCTGGTTTGTTGGGTAACAGTTTATTTAATGTTCGCTTTTAACCACATGATTATTGGTTAAAGAAATATTCAACCGGGACTGAGAACAAGTAAATAGAGAATATCATATGGCTTTTTCAATATTACATCCGTATCAACCAGAGACACCAATAGAATATCAAGAGCTCTCTTCGAGGGCCGATTAAGGGTCTGATATGAAAAATGACATGTAATGATCTTTTTATCATATACTTCAGCAGAAGAAATACAGACAAGAACTATTAATTAAAATTTTGTCTTTCTATGAATTTTAAGATAATAATTTACAGACAACCAAATACAAATTTCTTAACTTTAATTGTTTTTATTGATATTAAAAGCATTTTATTTATCTTGTCACAACAATTATCATGTTCTTAGTTTGAAATTTGCTCCTCAACCATTTTGTGAAAAGTCTTAAATCACTTACGGGTTTCCGCACTGTGTTGTCGTTTTCGAACAAAATTCCGGAAATGCACGAAGTTGCATGTGATAAACGTCACGGAAATTAACGGAAAGGCATGTGATAACATTCCGGAAGCAGTCAATAAAGGTTCCTTTATCAGCCCGCTGAGGAAATTCTTAGGAATCTGATCAATAAACCTAGTAATCCTTTCATAGCCTTTTAATATTTTTAAATGTTATTGAACAGTAAAATTTTAGTAATATTTTATACAAGTATATGAAAAAACAAGATAATAAATGACGTTTGATTTGGAAGTTATTTTGCGTTAGAATTGGGGATAAGATTGGGGGAATTTGCAGTATATTTTAAACAAAAGACGAGCTTGCAAACACCTTGTTTAAAAGACATGATTAAGCTTGGATCATGATCAGATTACAAACAATTTTTTGTTTGTTTTAGTGATGATGAGGAATTGGAGGTACCAGAAGAACCAACCGATCTAAGGCCACTAACACACGACGAACTGAAGTTAATAGCACAAAGAAATATAGGTAAACGGGTTAACACATTGGTTGTCCCGTCTCCAACAAAAGCCACCAAGTCACCAAGAGCAACATAAAGAAACAAACACCTGGATAACACAGAATTGTCAATAAATTGTTTATCACATACTTTTGTTATTTATACATATATTGTCAATAATGTATCGTGTGAGCTTTTGTCATCACTTGGCCTCCGTTGTCGCACGCAGAATTCGTAAGCTTTGTTAAAAAAATAACTTCCTCTGAAATCCTATAATAATATTAAATCAAACATTTGGTAAATGAATCTTAGTGTTTCTAGAATAGTGTCGTGTTTTACCCTCCAACCAAACAAACATGACAAAACAGTTACATTAGTCAATTAGAAATTGAACAGAGGAGTTGAGTCTTGTATGACAAATACATAGTAAAGAAAACAGTATCGGTTTAATATACTAGTATTCACAATATCTTCTTTTTCTTTTTTTCTGCCAATTCTACAAATAAGAGTCATTGAGCTTGTAAGATTATATTTGTTATACTTTTCAAGCATTTTGCGGATTTGTGAAAATGCTTATACCACTTAAACAATCAATTGACCCAATATAAGAGTTATTGCTCATATTAACGATTTTAACTAATTAAGCGTTTTTACATTTGATTTGATGTTACTTTTCACGACGTAAAACTCTAAAATATCGGGAAAAGATGCATTTTTCGACTGATTTTAATCATTAGCTTGAAAACGAGTACATGGACCCCCGTTTTTAAATTACATTTGGCTTGATTATGTATGACGATTATTTGTACCATTTTTAAAAGAAAAAATTAGGATGATTTTTTTTAAATGGATAAATATACTGCAAAAATGCCGTTTTTTTTTAAATCAGGAAAAAATAATAAAAATGAATTATTTCCCTTAATGTTACACAAAATTAGAGTATATTAGTCTGTCCTTTTAATCATTGGAGACTTTTACGAAACGAGTGTTAATTTTCCTTTGCATTTTACTATTCTTTTACATAAAAGCTGGAGGACTGAAGACGAGGTTAGCAAAAGCTTTTACATGACGTTTTATGAACACGAATGAAGCTTGTCTTTCAAAGAAAATTGAAAATGGAAATGGGGAATATGTCAAAGAGACAACAACCCGACCAAATAGCAGACAACTCTGCACTTCAATTCGCCTTTTCAGAATCTAAAGGACTATGGGTAATCTCATTGTTCGTACACCAAAACGTTACATCATTGGTTGGATTTCCATTGTTTATTTCGTTTTAAACCAATCACAACGTTTTGGTGTACGCTTTTGAAAATATTACCCAGAATGCATTAGATTCTGAAACGGCGAATTGCTTATTGTTCTTACGAAATATACAATGTCGTTCTCAGGACAAAACATCTGGCTTCGATTTATATTTTCTATTATCTAAATGTCAATTAGGTTAAGCACACTGTAATCCCGTTATAATATTTGTTATTTTAAAATTAGTAAACAATGTTGACATAAGTTGAAGTCAGACCCCGTCAGAGACATACATTTAGAACAACTGTTTATATAGTCTATATATAAAAGTGAAATTATATGCAAATTTTTACAAAAATTCGAAGAAATGTTAGTTTTTATTTTTATTCATTGAAATTTTGCTTTTCAAAACGATGTGGAATCTCGAGCTTCCAAACTGCTTCCTAGCTACGCCACTGCATAAAATATATAAGTACCATAATAAAAAAGACGAAAGTTCTTCCAAGAAAAATGCAACATTTGGTACACAAGGTGACAAGGACGACACTTACTATGAACGAACGGGGAAGGGTCTTTTTGATATAAGGAATGTAGTTCTCGGCATCTGAGTAAAGCAATGAGATCGCGCCATCAGTCTACGGAAAGTGCGAATCGAGAAATCCGTTTCTTATGTGGAGTAACAATATTTTTCTTTTGTAAATTAGATGCATTTTGGGGAATTCTCAAACGAATGTTGACATTTGATGGAATAAAACAAAATTCATCAGAAAGTACTTGCTTATTCTTTTTAAAACATAGACGTATTTGATAGGACAAACGTATATACAACTTGCCGTGTATTTTGAATATTTAATCCCAAGTATGTTGTATTTATACGAGTAAATATGCAAATGCATTGAATAAAACCTATTTGCACGATCTATAATTTCGAGGTGTCCAAATCTTTTCCACTGCGATATTTTTCTAATAGAAATGCGATACCTTTTTCATATTAAAAAATACGATAATATGGCACAATACATTACAACAAAGTAGAAACATCGACAATTATACATGACAAGTTTGATGGTGCAGGTAAAATATCACTGAAATTTCGTATAGATGATTTACGTACATTTTAAATCAATTATACGCTTATAAAGAAGTAGACACGATGTTCAATATCCCCTGCGCGTCGATCAATTTTGCGTTTACAAATCAATATTGCACAGTATTTACCAACTTTCAACTTCCGCTTAAAAATAATATTTGGCTTGTGTCAGTCTAGAATAATAAAGTATTGACATATATGTATCATCTGTCATGTCTATATGTAATTTTAATAGTTAAATTCAGTTGTTGAAATTAAAAGGAAATTACTTTATCATGCATTTATTATACAAAACATTCAAAGCCAATGAAACATGACTGAAGTTGCAGGCCCGAATAATCTCCCTGGAAATGATAATGAATATGATAATACTGTTTCAACTGCATACCAAATATCGTTGACCTATTGTCAATGGTTCTCCTTAAACTGACAAAATCAAAAACTCAAACTGTAAAAAATAAAATAACAAAAATACCGAACTCCAAGGAAAATTCAAATCGGAAAGTCCCTTATCAAATGGCAAAATTAAAAGCTCAAACACATCAAACGAATGGAAAACAGCTGTCATATTTCTGACTTTGTAAGCGATGCAAAACTTTCGCAGTCAATGAACTATCGTGCAGGGAGCGAGGCCTTATTATCTCCATAAAAATAGGCCAATGCTAATACAAATGCATACCAAATATCCATTGACTTATCGTTAGTGGTCCCCATTTTAAAAAACTTACCTTATCACAAATTAGAAAAAAAATGTTGACGCCGCCGACGCCACCGGAAACAGCACGCATCCATTACTTCGTAGAGGCGAGACAAAAAATATTAATACTAACATTTTTTCGCCCTCTTACATCTGGAAATCTATATTCGATGTAATGTTATTGCAATTTTATCGAATTATGCATGAAGATTAAAACGGCCAAGACCTGCATTCGATAGGTTAAAATGTGGATAGTAAGAACATAATTTTTTAGTTGTGAACTAGGAATCGTTTTTCTTTTCCATTACTTAAAGTAAGTTTTATTTTCCAGCGATCATCTATTTGAATTGCCTGAAAACTCGTGTTTAGAATTATGATATTATCTTAACACATTGAATGTACACGTCTTGAATATAAACACTTTTTATTGTGTTTTAGAATTAACAGTTTTTGGGACTTAAACGTTAATTTCTAAGCTAAACATGATCCTTAACACAATCCTAAACACTTTCTTCAATCTAAACATGTTACGAAATTAAAAAAAAAGTGCGCAAACAATATATATAAGATTTAAACACTATTTATACAGTTTACATGTAGTAAGGATATCGGAAATGCATTTTTTTTTTATGTGTTCATATATAATGTAATAGATGTTTTGTCGATGCCACCAATTTGAACGAAATTCGGGCCGGTCTATCAAAATGACTTGATTTTATCCTTCACATATAAAAAAGTGTAACAAAAATACCAAACTCCAAGGCAAATTCAAAAAGGGGGAAGTCCATAAAAACTAACAAAATCAAACGCTATCAATCAACGGAACAAGTGAAAAGCATCTGCCATATTACTTATTCTAATACTAATATGTTTGAAGAACAATTAAGAATTTCGATAAGCAATGGGCTAAGACTGCTTGCTACCTCATATAACATGAACTACATTAAAAAATATCGCATCTACAATATAATAATATTAATAGAATAAATATCATTTAATTATTTTTTTACAAAAGAAAAACGTAGCAGTACAATTTTTACAAGGAGATAAACTTTGCTTTTACTTTTATATAGAGCATATTTCAAGACTTAATTTTATATTTAAATGATAGGTTAACAGTTTATATGTTCAAAAAGAAATCTTACCGTTGTTCATTTAACTGGTCCATTTGATTTTTTTCCTTTAAAACGACATCGAAAGGCTTGTAATAATCGATTTCAGATGGATTAATGTTAATACATAACACACTTCTGTGTGTCGCGTGAATTAATTTCGAACTGAACGTATTTATATACTTTAATATTTAAAAAAAAATTATTGCAAAAAACATCTTTTTCCTCATGGAGTGTCTGCATATTTACATTTTCATATTAGAAAATATCGCGACTCTACATAAGAAAACGGTTTTCTCGATTCGCACTTTCCATAGACTGACCATTAGCTATTATTTTTTTGTAAATCCAATCCTATTCGTTTGTGTTACAGGGGAATTAACCGCTATACGGACTTAGGGCACATACGGTATCTCTTTTTATTTGGGAAATGTGCGTATGGCGTAATGAATTATAAGCTGGTAATTTTATTTATAACTGATCTTTTTCCATTAAAACAACTACTACGGTTATTCGTTGGCATTTGCTTTATCTTCATTACGAATGGTGCGGTATATGCGCCATCATGAAACAGCACAACTTTTAAATCTAAAATTTAAATGCAAATAATTATAAAAATAAGAAGATGTAGTATGATTGCCAATGAGACAACTCTCCACAAGAGACCAAATGACACAGAAATAAACAACTATAGGTTACCGCATAGTCAGCTATAAAAGGCCCCGAAATGACAAATGTAAAACTAAGACAACTATCCAACAGAATCCAAAAGAATTAGATTGAAGCAAATATATATCACCGTATGACCATCAACAATGAGAAAACCTCTTATTGTATAGTCAGCTACGTGTATAGGAGACCCCCGGTATAATGAATGTTAAACTATTCAAACGTAAAAAATAACGGCCTTATTATGACAAAACAATTAAAAGACAGCAACCAACGACAATCACTGAATTACAGGCTGATAACTTAGGACAGGCGCATATAGAATGTGGCGGAT